TATAGCTCCTGCCCCCACTTCTCTATTTTAAATAACGAAGTTGAGCAGATATTAACAGGTTCATTGGTTTGCTTTGAAGAAGTGCTTATTCAAGAATTTTAACCCTTTTCTTATGGGCTGTTTTCTTGTTATTGATTTGCAGTTCTTCTATATTTTGGACTAGATTCTTTGGCGATATGCTTGCATTGTACATATGTGTGGTAGAAAAATAAGTGTAAGTGCTTTGGTTGCTTCAAATGTGATGAACATGAAGTAAACAATTTTCTTTTAATTGGAACAAACCCAGGACCCGAGTCAGTGTCCTGCCCTTTCAGACTGGAGTTTGTTTTGATATCTGGAGAAAAGATGAGTTCATTTTACCCTCTGTTAAACTTTGCAGTTATTTCAGTGAGTAGAATTGACTCTTTAATTTGGCAAAAGTGGATTGATAGTGTTTGTTCTTAGTTTTCTTTCTATTTTTGTTTGTTTTATTTTTTTCTGTAGTTCTTGAAGAAGATTTGAGGCAGAAATCAAATAAACTGGGCTAGAGTTAGTTTGTTAAGCAACGTTTTAAACCAGAACATCAATGGAGTCCTTCTTCACTGTCATTTAAAATCCTCATTTATTTATTTCACATTAATCTGTCAGCAACCACCTACAAAACATTTGACTTTGTGACCTTGTCTTACTCATGTGTTCAGAGTAAATTATAATTAATCACTTCTGAGCAGCCGGCTCCTGATCCTTTACCATCCATCTACCACCCCACAGCTCACATCCTCTAGAGAAAATACTCCCTCTCAAGCCATTTCTGAGACTGAAAGTCAGATGAAGGAAGAAGACTGATTTTGCAATATCTGAATAAATTAAAGCAGAATGTTTCCTTTTCATGGTTTTTTTTAAGCCATGGGAAAAATAGTTTAGCATTACCAGTGTAGACCTCTTGCCATCTTCATGAAATTATGGGAGAAATTATCATGGTGAACTCAAAAGGACACTGAATTTTAATTCATGACATTTATGTTCTAATTCTGATTCTATTATGAAAACACTTTGTGATGAGGTCAAATCACTTAAACTCCCTGGGTCTCAGGATCTATATCTATAAAACCAGTATCTTTTGCAATTCTCTCATTTTACAAGAAAAGAAAAATATTTATTGTTAAAGTCACTGATAAGGTATATAAGATTATCCAATGTCATCAACTTACAAATTTTTGTCATCAATTTACAAACTTTTGTCATCAGTTTACAAACTTCATAGTTTATACAACTTTCAACCCTGAGAGCTACCTTTTACTCACAGGTGTTTAGAACTCAGTTGATTCTATACGCTTCCAGTTCAGAGGTTCAACATTGCATTAGGCAGAACTCTCTTTTCATTATGACCTTCTCGTGCAATTCTTGTTATTATATTCTACTCTGGACTTTTTCAACCAATCACTATGTTGATTGATTTTTTGGTTTTCAGGTTCAGTATCAGATTTATGAATGTTCAACTGTAGCAGATTCTTTTTGTCCCATATTTGGTTTAATGTTCTGCTGCTGAAATATTGAAATTTCTTGGGTTTCTTTGAACATGCATGTTGCAAGCAAAATCATCTGGGACAACAGAACACTCACATTAATGGAGGAAATAAACCCAACATGCATGCTTTCCATGCCTTGCCTCTCAATTGATATATATCATTCATGATAACCCGCAGACTTGGAATTCTGATAGATTCATAAAGCGAGGGTGTGCAGCAAGACCCAGAGAAAGTATGAAGCCAATATGTTACATCTTCTGGTAAAAGTTTAAAAATGGGCACTGGTGGAGGGATGGGTGTTTGATCATTGTACAATTGAAACCCAAGCACAAAAATTTGTAAATATACAACTTGTGCCTCATGGTGTTTCACTAACAAATTTTTTTTTTTTATAAAAAGCAACCGGTGCTGGTGCAGATGTGGTGAGGAAGGGACAATCCTTCACTGTTGGTGGGAATGCCGACTGGTTCAGCCCTTTTGGAAAACAGTATGGATGATTCTCAAGAAATTAGAAATTGAGCTCCCATTTGACCCAGCAATACCACTCCTGGGAATATATCCCAGAGAGTCAAGAAAGTATAGCCGAAGTGACATCTGCAATTGTCTGTTTATTGCAGCACTCTTTACAATAGCCAGAATCTGGAAAAAACCTGAGTGCCCGAGAACAGATGACTGGTTGAAGAAACTCTGGCACATTTACACAATGGAGTACTATGTAGCTGTTAGAAAAGACGAAGTCATGAAGTTTACATACAAGTGGTACTACATGGAAAGTATCATGTTAAGCGAAATGACTCAGAAAGAAAGGGATAGACATAGAAAGATTGCATTCATCTGGGGAACATAAAGTAACAAAATAGGAAACTAACACCCAAGTATGGCAGAGATTAGTACCAGGAATTTTACTCAATGATCCGGAGGACAACCACACATGCTAGGGGAAGGGGGAGCTCAGAAAGAGAAGGGAACACCAAATAAAGGGTGTTGGGAGGATCCGCCCACGATGGGAGAGCATGGTGAGGGTAGACTGTCGACCAAGCATGACTGCCACTTAGTGCCTCTTTTGCAGACCATGGCACTCAAAAGGAGAGAGAGGGAAATGCCCTGCCACAGAGGCAGGGTGGGATGGGGGCTGGGGGGGGCAGGGGTTCCTGGGATCCATGGTGGTGGGAAATGCGCAATGGTGGAGGGATGGGTGTTTGATCATTGTATAATCGAAACCCAAGCACAAAAATGTGTAAGTCTACAACTGTACCTCATGTTGCCTCACTATTAAAAAATAAATAAATATAAAAATTTTTTAAAAAAATGTAAAAGATGGAGAATGGGCACTGGTGGAGGGATGGGTACTGGATCATTGTATAACTGAAACCCAAGCACAAAAATTTGTAAGTCTACAACTGTACCTCATGGTGTTTCACTAATAACATTTTTTTAAAAAAAAAGTTTGAATACTGACAGTGCTAATAAACAATGCTCTCTCTCTCAGTCTCTCTCTCACTCTCCTCTCTCTTTCTCTCTCTCACTCTCTCATTTTCCATTAGAAAAATATCTGCCTTGGAGGCAAGCTGTGGGAGTGGGGTAGGGGTGGGTAGGAAGGAAACTAGGGACATTAGTGGTAGGAAACATGCACTGTGAAGGGATGGATGCTGGAACATTGTATGACTACAACTCAATCATAAGCAATGTTTTAACTGTGTTTTTTTTCATGGTGATACAATTAAAACTTTTTATTATTTTTTTAAAAAAAAGTGTCAATGCTTTCTCTTAACCAGAAGTTATTTCCAACAAAGGGGAAAAAAGATAGTGGTAATCCTCCGGATTTGACCTACTTTTTTTCATTAGTCAAACTTGCCTGGTAAACAAACAAAACATAATGAAAGAAATGGAAATGATAGCAACCCATATATTTTTTGCCTAATTCTCACCCACCCCCATCATTCCATCATCAGTAAAACAAACAAGGGTTCAGTTGAATGCACGCACATCCAGAAATAAAAATTAGTTGAATGATTTATGGGGAGTGTTTCCACTGTTTTATAAAAATTAAATACATATGCATGTATGAAGTATGAGATATGTCACTTTGGCAATCTTACATACAATTAGTTTTTCTAATTTGCACTAAAAACTGGCACTGCATGATTTTTAATGGAAAATTCATGCTAATAATTTAAAATTTGAATTTTCTCCACTTAGTATATTAAATAACAAATAAAAATGCCCTGGTAAATTGAAAGAGATCATGTGCTGGAGAAAGTAAAAAGTGTGTAGGGTGCTTGCCTTAGATGCAGTCAACCCAGGTTCAATATCTGACACCCCAAATGGTCCCCTGAATTCTGCCAGGAGCAATAACTTGAGTGCAGAGGCAGAAGTAAATCCTGAGCATTGCTGGTTGTGATTCCAAAACCAAAATAAATTAAAAAATAGAAATAAATCATAGAAGTAAGGAAAGAGCTTCATATTTTAGTGCCTTAGCACTATGTCCTGCTTAGTGACTCATTGTTCTTGTTGATTCTGTATTCCCACCTTATTTAAGTCAATTATACTCACCTATTTCTGTATTTTATCCCAGCCAATGGCCAACTTGTTTACCTCTGGAACCAGTGTTGTGGTAAACTCTTAGAATCTGCTGATTACTGTCATGACCACTGTGATCCCAGATTTTTCAGATTATTCCAACAAGTCCCTCAACTTTGTAGTCATTTTATTCTTTTTTTAAACAAAACTGTTTTAATGTAAGAAAATGATGACTACAAGAATAAGTGAAAAAAGGACTGAATAAATTGGGTAAAGTGAGTCAATGGTCAGTGGGTGGTGGAAATTGGACTTCTGGGTGGCAAATAATATACCTGAAGCCGATGTTATGAACCAAAGCTACTTTAATACAATATTTACGTTAAATCACACTATCATAATCAATAGAACCAATAGTATAAAAAGCTCATGATTACTAATGAAATGTTTCAGCAAGGGTATTTAAAATTCTCAACTATTTCTCCACAATAATCTCTTATTTATTCAAAACTTCATAGTATTTGAGATTTGCAGGAGGAACTAATCAAATTTCCACATGTGACAACAATGTAGTCATTTTATTCTTAACTTTGAGGTTAGTCATGTATCATTTTTGTGAACCTATAGAAATAATGGTCTATGTGATGTTCTCAGACACCCACTCTTGGCCTTTGTCATGATCTGCTTCCAATTATTTGGATTACAATGTTTTATATAATCAAAGACCCAGGATAGAAAAGACCCATTTATTCTTTAAAATTGACTTTGCACATCTTGTATCTTTATGTCACTGTCACTGTCACTGTCACTGTCCTCCCATTCTTCATCGATTTGCTTGAGTGGGCCCAGCAACATTGTGAGAATTGTTACTGTGTTTGGCATATCGAATACGTCACGGCTTTGCTTTGCAGACGAGATACTGTCAGTAGCTCTCCAGACTGAAATATACAACACCCAAAAAACAAAATTCAAAACTTCTGGGTTCAAGTACAATATCACTTAATCACAAATTTTTATAGCTACACTTCAAAAATAGAATAAAATTGCCACAATTTGAAGAGGTAAGATTTATTTGTATCTTCTTCTTATATAAAATTACTAAACAAAAAGTTCTGCCTACAAGACATTTTCCTATGTTATTTTTCATTGAAAGCCTTGAATATAAATTTATAAACTTTTAAAAATTTGGCCAAGGTTTTGGTTAATAAAATGTAAACCTTCCCACCATTCCATCATTTTCTCTGATTTCTTTGTGAAATCTGGGTCTGTTTGGGGTGATTTTAGAGGTGTTCTAAAGGACTCTCAGAGTTCCTATCTGCAGACATCCTTCTGAGCATTAACATTCCACTCTTAGTCTTCGAATTAAGATACACACACACACACATACGCACACGCGTGCGTGCGTGCAAACGCACATGCACACAAAATCTGGGGGTTTTACACACATACAACCTCAGATTCCATCTGCTCAATAGACCATGACATCTCATGGCATCTCATGGCATCTTATCAAGGTAGATCTGAAAGTACTCTCTTGCACATATTTTCAATTCCCTTAGGTTCATGTGTGCACATTGATATCACCAGTCCTGTGTAACTTGCCTATTGTCATACAAGTAATTTCTAGCAGAACTGAAACCTGAATCCATGTTTTCTAACACCTAATATACTGACTGGGATGTTAGTATTTTAAAAACTTCAAACTGGGTCTGGAGTGATATAGAACAGGGGGAGGGTGTTTGCCTTACACCGGGCCGACCCAGGTTCGATTCCCAGCATCCCATATGGTCCCCCAAGCACCGCCAGGAGTAATTCCTGAGTGCATGAGCCAGGAGTAGTTCCTGTGCATCCCTGGGTTAACGACCCCCCCCCCCCCAAAAAAAGAAAAAAAACAATTCGAACCTAATTATGTAGAAAGAGGGTACAGAGGATATGTACTTTGGGAAATGTTGCTTCATGCCACCAGCATCGTGGGCGATTCCACTTACCATGGTCTCAGCCTTGGACCTCCCCATGAGTGCCCAGAACCAGCATCACCCAGGAGCTGTCAGAATAAAGCCTCCAACTGGCACAGGCGGACTCTACATTTTAACAGAAGGGCTCTGATGTGATTTGAAAGGACTTTGAAGTTCAATAAACATCAAACTCCGTTTCAAAGGACTTTTACGCAGGGAGGAGGATGGTGAGAGAAATAAACGCCGCTAAAATTCTGTCATTCCATCACGTTTCATATGAAACCAGGGACGCGGGCTGGTTGCCTTGATTCACCGTTATTTTTCCAGGCTTTCTGTGGCTTTTGCTGTTATTATACTGAAGAGCTACGTGAGACAGAAAGCTTGGCAGCATTCCCAAAATCCTCAGCATGTGGGAATAGCAAGCAACAAAGTGTTAGCCCCTGCCAACTGGTGGTTCCGTGTAAATGTCTCTGTTAACAACCAACACTGCTGCTAGCAGCCATCGGAGCAAAGCGGCAAATCTGTTCCTCTCTCCGGTGTGGAAAACACCACTGAAAAAGTCATCTAATTACTTGATTAAGATGTATCAATCCTGGAAATTGTTGATCTAGAACACCGAGTCTCTGACATTTAGTTCATTCTTGATTAAATGGAACAGTTTCAACCTGCCTCTTTGCTTGCCTCCAAGTGCTGAGTGCTGAGTGACAAGGGGTGACAGCGGGACCTTTTTGGTGGGGAAGAAGAAAATAACCATTTGGGGCCCAATTCTTTTGGCTGTTTCAATGAAGCCCCTGAGGAAGTCCCTGTCGGAATAATAGGAAAAGACGGATCACTCTGGCAAGCTTAGAATTCTAAGTCTCTGATAAGGGCTTGGGGAAAATCATTATTTTGAAAGCATCCTAATTCTTTTCTTTAGAAAAACACAGGATTTTTTCCCCCTATGCATTCTGTTTCTATACCTTTCTAAGGTGCAAGGACTTTCCCTACCTCTGCTCTATGTAAATGTACCTTTGAGGAAGATTTCTGTTGGTACTTTCTTATATCCAAAATCCTTCCAACGTTACCCTTCCCATAAGATGCAGCTTATTTGGGGGAAGAAAACAGCGACAGCATCTACTCAGTAAGGAATACATTGATTGATTACATTTCAAACAATATCCCATTACTTGCCTGCAAAGACCACCAGCATCTGAGAATCAACAGTAGTGGTAAGTTCCTTTTAAAAGTTTGAGAACTTTATGCTGGAAATAAGTAAAGGGACAAAAATAATAACCTCTCACTGCCTGTATTGAAAACCACACATGCCTAAAAGAAGAAAAGTAACTTACATGGAGGGGAGTGGGTGCAGGAGGGAGACTCAGGACATTGGTGGAAGGAAATAAACACTGGTGGAGGGATGGGCATGAACCCAACCATGCTTCGTAACGGTGCATCTCATGGTCAGTCAATGCAAACTAAAAATAAAAATTTGTTTAGATAAAAATAAGATTGAATTTCTTCTAAAAGTAAACATGAGGGGAGAGAATAATAGTATCATACTTTCCAACGCCATCTTACGATTAGTAATTTTGAAGAAGCCATTTTATACTTTCAATTGAGTAAGTGAACCCTCTTATCCAATGGAAACTTGTTTCTATGCTCAATTTTCTATTGACATTTAGATAGTTATTTATCACAATTCCATGATTTCTTCATGTTGTCTGTCACTTGGCCATTATCACATTAACTTAAAAACATTTCAGGGCAGGAAAGATGTTTATGTGGTAAGGCACTTGCCCTTCATGCCTAACTCAGGTTTGATACCTGGAACCTCATATGGTTCTCCAAGACCACAAGTGGTGATATTCTGAGCATAGAGCCAGCAGAATACCCTTAACACACTCAGGTGTGGCCCCAAAACAAAAAGAAAAAAAAGAACTGACAGATTGTCTGGAAGTAATTCTTTCTAGAAATTTCTAGATTGTATAAGTATAATTGTCTAAGCTAATTCAACATTCTTTTTATTTATCAAGCATGATAAAATGAACAAGCAACAAGACAACATTACTAATCACTGTGCCCTATTTGACAGGCTACATCCAAGTCATTTACATAACCTCAGACAACGAAAAAAACTCGGGTTGCTTATTTGGTTTTTAAGACGGAGAATTCAGTAGTGAAGAATAGTCTTTATTGTCTGATGTAGCATTGCACATACAAAAGTTTCAGCTGACACAAAGATATTTAATATTTAATTAGAATTTCTAAAGTCACACTCCCACGTTCCCCATATAAATAATTTTTCAATAAGTGTACTATATTTTGACCAACATACAGCCCAAATATTTATTGATTGTTCTCAACTTTAAATATTGTACTACTAGGCTGGAGCAGTGGGCTGGAGCGATAGCACAGCAGTAGGGCATTTGCCTTGCATGCAGCCAACATGGCCTACTCAAGTTCGATTCCTCCGCCCCTCTCGGAGAGCCCGGCAAGCTACCGAGAGTATATCGCCCGCATGGCAGAGCCTAGCAAGCTACCCATGACGTATTTAATATGCCAAACACAGTAACGACAAGTCTCATGATGGAGACGTTACTGGGCCTGCTCGAGCAAATCGATGAACAACGGGAGGACCGTGAAGTGACCATGAGGCTGGAGCAGTAGCACAGCAGGTGGGGCGTTTGCCTTGCATGTGGCCAACTTTGGTTCAACTCCCAGCAACCCATAAGGTCCCCTGGGCACCACCAGGAGTAATTCCTGAGTGCAGAGCTAGGAGTAACCCCTGTGCATCGGCAGGTGTGACCCAAAAAGAAAAAAAAATGTATTACTTTCATATTTTATGCCCTTAACTATCATATTATCATATCCCTGTTCTCTGTCTCATTCAACATTGAAATACCCTACAGATATAAAGCACACTATTTAAGATGCCTCTCACCATAAGGAATAACTCAACTGCCATTTCAAAATTATTCTATTTTGGATTCAAAAAAGTAATCTTGGTATAAAGTTATAGAAAAAAAAGCCTAGTTCACTTTTGAGGCAGTTCCATCATATTTTAAATAAAATAGGACATGTCCACATCTTCCTTTTATCCTTTTTTGGGGGTTTCTAAGCAACGCCTAAGAATAGAATTTAAGGGTACACATGTTTATTCTAAAGAATAATTGCTGGTAACAACTGGAAAGAAAAAAGAGTATTCTATTATGTGATATATATATATATATATATATATATATATATATATAATACATTGGGCTGGAGCGATAGCACAGCGGTAGGGCGTTTGCCTTGCATGCAGCCAACATGGCCGACCCGAGTTCGATTCCTCTCGCCCCTCTCGGAGAACCCGGCAAGCTACGAGAATATCTCGCCCGCACGGCAGAGCCTGGCAAGCTCCCCGTGACGTATTCAATATGCCAGACACAGTAACAACAAAGTCTCCAATGGAGATGTTACTGGGCCCGCTCGAGCAAATCGATGATCAACGGGAGGGCCTTTACTTTACTTTTTTACTTAATATAATACATTAGATTTTTTTTTTTGCCTCCTGCTCTTGTAAATAATACTGCAATAAAAATCTATGTATTGCTTTGAATTCAAGTTTTTGTTTCATTGGATAACTGGATCACATTGAATTTTCTATATATTCAATTTTTGAGGAAAAATCATGTGGATTTTCTTAATTATTGCATCAATTTACAGTTCAAAAAACCAACTCTATGCCCTCCACTTCCTCTTTCTTGCCTTTTGGGTAATTCTATACTCTAAACTACATAGTGCAAGAAATTTTGTTTCCAAATTTCCCATATTGGGAAATTTATTTTCAAGTCTAACCATATTGCCCACCATGGAAAACTCATGCTGGTCTTCCAGATTCTTTTACAGGGTCATCAACCCAACAGTTAAAGTACAATCATTTTCTGTTTCTCTACAAAAAGCCTTATGTTATATCAATAAACCGGCTTCAATTCATAAAAATAAAATGTCTACTTTTTAAGTTTAGATATATTTTTTGTACTCTTTTCCTTGGCACATATGCCCCTTACAATTCTCTTTGTTTTGCAGAATGCAATAGAGTCTCTTCTGTGCGAGTTTCTCTGATCCCTGTGTATTTTCTCATCTCACTGCCCATTATAATTTTCTCAGCTTTTTCATAGGGACTTGTCATATTA